AACTATTTTACTAGCTTGAATTTCATAAAAATTGTAAATTAAAACAAAAAGATAAATAAATAAAGCTAGCAAAGTACATACGCTACTTTTAAAATTCTGCTATTATATTTAATTGTAAATATTTTTTAAAGTTTTAGCAAGCAACTATCTTTTATTAAAAAAGAAAACTTTTAATTGGCTTCAAAAACCTCAATACCATTGATGAATTCAGATATTAATTTCAAATCTTCTAGACTTGCATTCAACTTTAAAACTTAACTATCATTTCTCTTAATCTTCAAAATTCAAGTAGAGAAATAAAACAATATATATATAATCCCCTCCAAAAAATTATTTCTCTTTTAACAACAACATTATGACTGTAAAAAGTATATTAAACTTACGTTAATAAATGCTACTTCAATAACTAAATTTTTTGAAGGCAATTTGCAAAACATGGAAACATGAAAAAATGAATAAAAAGGATTTAGAAAATAACTTTTATTTTATTTTCAAACTGAAGCAAGTTTGAAAAAAGATAAAATCGACTTAAAAGAATAACAGAGTTCAAAACTAAGTTTATCTAAAACTTAATACACTAGAGCTTAAAATCTTACAACCAGGTTTAAAAAAAGTAAAATTATGCTTTATGAAATGTGCTTTCATATGTGTTGAATGACATTTTATAACAAGAAGATATGAAAGTTTTATAAAACTTTAATAAATTTTGAATACAAAAAACAACATTTCTCGATATAATTTTAAAAGATAATGATGGTAAAAAGTTTTTCATGGCAGTGGTGCATTCTTTATTGCGAAAAATCATAGTATAGGATCTTTTAATTAACTATGAAGATCCAGATTTCTTTGGTCACTATCATGATAATGATGTTCAAAAGTTCCTCATTACAATCGGTACATTCTTATTTGCAAAAAGTCATATGGTAGGATATGATATTTAATTGACTAATAAGATTAATATTTCTCTGGTCACTATCATGATAATGTTGTTCAAAAGTTTCTCATTACAATTGGTACATTATTATTTGCAAAAAGTCGTATGGTAGGATATTTAATTATCAAATAAAATCAAGTTTTATTTGGTCAATATCATGATAATGATGCTCAAAAGTTTCTCCTTATAATTGGTGCATTCTTATTTGCAGAAATTTATATGGTAGGATCTTTAATTAACCAAGAAGATCAAAATTTCTTTGGTCACTATCGTTATAATATTGATAAAAAAATTCTCATTACAATCGGTGCATTCCTATTTGCGAAACTTCGTATAGTAGGATCTTTAATTAGCTAAGAAGATCAAAATTTTTTATGCACCATTATGATATTAAAAAGTTTCTCATTTCAGTAACGCATATTCTTATTTGCAAAATTCTTATGGAAAGATCTGTAATTGACTTAAAAGATCCAGATTTCTTTGATCACCATCGTACTGCATTTGGAGTATACAATTGAAGTAAGTTAGAGAGGTGTTTGTTACGACTAAAATGTTTCATTGTACGTTATTAAATGATATTTAGAGTAATATTCATCATTCTTTTAAAGAGTGTTCTTATTCTCTACTATTACTAAATTTCTTTATTTTGATAATAATTTCAAATTAAAAGCTTTAAACTAACGGCAGTGTTTTTTTTCTTATTAACGAGTAATCGCGGACGGAGAAAGAATTCTGAGAAAATTACCGTTAGGAAATTTTTGGTAAAAAAAAAAATAAAAAATCATTTCATAACAGTATATTAGCGTAATTTGTACCAGAAATAAATAACTGTATAACGGTTAATAAGTTTAAACACTGATTTAAATAAAATTATCTTGAAGTACAGTTTAATAACACAGTAAAAATGAATTTCCCAAAAATTAAGCAAAAATGTGAAAAAATAACTCCTAAACAAATATAACTGAATTTTAAAATCCCATGTTCTCATTATTAAGCAAAATGCATAATCTCAAGAATGACGCATTATGTACTGCATTACTGAAAAGAGAGTGAGTACGTAGTCTGTAAATTCCTGTAATTTAAACCCCTACAGATTCATAATGGTTAACAAAACGAAATTTTATTTCATATTATATTCAATTATTTTACTTTTATTTGTATATTTTAAACTTAAGCACCTCCTAGGAAAAGAATTTAGACATCACTGATATTAATTTAAATATATGACATGTATCGCAGATGTCATATTTTGATTAATGTCAGTGGCATTTAAATCTTTCAAGTAGATGGCGCCTTTTTTAATATTGCAATGTGAAATTCTTTTAAAATTATTTTAAAGGGGCTACTTTGAAGAAGCCATAGCTTCACAAGGTACTGTAATATCCTGTTTATTAACCACACTATATTGCAATAAAAGAAAAATATTTCTTTAAAATTAAAAAAAAGTAAAACTCACTGAAATCTAGTATCATCAGAAAAAAAATTAAAAGTCAATAAAAAATGCCAGGATTTTATTATGTTAACTTGCAATTTGAAGCTTATTAAGGTACAGCAATATGTACTTTAACAAGCTTAAATAATTTATAAGGTCAGAAAAAAAATCGAAAAATAAATGGGAAAAAAAAACAAAGATTCTGGGTAAAAAATATTTTTTTCATCTTCCATTTTTTGCGAACAAATAAGTTTTTGATGTCTAAAAATACTAAACTCGAAACAAAAAAAGCTCTAATGCTCAGAATTGAAATTTGAAAGCCTCGTCATTTTAAATATTTAATCAGACTCTCTTAAAAATAAACCATCCATGAAATCTTGTCTGAGTGCAATGTAAAGAAGGGGAATATGAGTTAATCTTGTGAAAAGGCGGTTCATGCTACTTACTCTTTTAAAACAAGATTAAATGCCAGATTTTCATAAAACTCTTTAAAGGTTTCTGGGTCATCCAGGTACTCGGAGAAAGTAAATTATGTAAAACTCTTTAAATTTACAAAAGAATTTGGAAATACATATTTTATAACAGAAGATATCAAACTTGTTTTTAAAATTATATCTAAATATTGTGTTCTTAGATATATTTCAAGGGGAATTAGAAGTAGTTAAGTAATTTATTTTTTAAAAATTATATGCACGTATGTTGGTAAATGCTAAAAATTTTGTATTTTATTTAAATCATAGTTATAAGGTATATTTAAAATTGTTCAATAAGGTTAGTAATGTATCGATGTATTCAAGAACAAAGAGTAACGCTATGGAGGCATTTGCACATACGAATGTTCAATTTTACTTATTGACATTTATACACCGAAGAGCCATTACATTATGACCACCTTCCATCTATAACAATGGGCTCGCCCAGGTTTTCATGGTTTCTCGCCCAGGAACAATGTTTTCATGGGGCATATTAGAACCCATAATCCTCATAGAACAATCCCTGACGTCTGTAAGCTACTTGAACATAGTTGCAGACCAGGTTCACCCATTCATGGCAACAGTTTTTCCTGCGGGGAATGGTGGCCAACAGGATAATGCACCATGTCATAAGGGTCGAATCGTCATGGATTGGTTTGAGGAACATTCCAGTGACTTTCAAGTCATGTCTTGGCCCCCAAATTCACCTAACCTTAACCTTAAGCATTTGTTTTCCTACTTGGAAAACCAAATTCATGCTGCCACGCTACATCCTCGTAATGTGAGGGAATTACAGGACCAGTTGGTGAGCGCTTGGTACTAGATACCTCAGATTACCTATCAGCACCTTGTGGAATCAATGTGGTGCTTGCATTTTGAGAGCTAAAGGTGGTCCTACACGTTATTAGCAGGTGGTCATAATGTAATGGCTCTTCGGTGTATATGTTTATAGGTGGTTACTAGTCAATACATGCATTGAATATATGACTCATATTATTTAAATTTATTACTATACATTTTTGATCGAGTTATAGATGACAAAATAGCTACGTGTCAAATATCAATTTAAACTTGTCATTTTTGAATTACACAAACTCTCATGTGACTTTTAAAGGGGCGAAAATAACAAAATATTCCACAGTTAGCTTGATGGAAATGTTTTCTACCAATCTTCAGTTTAACACTAAAGTTCAGTTTAACTTAAAGTTATTATCAGCACTATGACCGGTATACGAGAACAACATACAAATCTATAAGCAACTGCCATTATTCGAACGTGGGTCACTTCTTCTAATATCAAGCCCTCAATTAACATAGCTAATGATCCGAAAATTGCTTAAACTTAAAATTTATCGTCAAATTAATATCAAAACAAAGTACATGTAGTTGATGTTAAATTGATTTTACTTTTCTCCAAAGCATACTTAGTAGCATACATATTCCAGCCGAGAGGTCTAATCTGTCAGTCTCATGACTGACAAAACTGGGGTTGCAGTCCTAACGTTTGCACCACATTATTTCCTCCATTCCTTTCAACACATGAAGAGTTTCCAGTATACTGCACTCCCCAATGCCCATTACCTAACAAAAAGCCTAGATCTTATGTCCAGTTAAATTTCGTTTTTATGGTTTTGAAACCATGCTAGTTGTAAATGGTTGAAAAAACATATGTTTTGTTATAATGGTTTTATAACCATGCTAGTTGAAAGCGGTTTCAAAACCGTAAAAGTAAAAAATGTTCTTTTCACCGTAAACTTTACGGTCAATCGGATGGACAGACGACTGCCTGTTATTTTACCATAATTTTAGAATGAAAATTCTAACAGTGTATATCACATTGAAACTGAACGCAGAACTATTGTAAATCAACCTATATTTATGTAACTTTACTTCAATTTACATTAATATATTAAAGAATTGAGAAAGGTAGTTTTTAAATGCAAGTTTGCTAGAGTTTTTTCTTCTTCTTAGTTTCTACTTTTAGCGAAGTCTAACATTTTGCTGAGTATGTATTTTGAAAACATGTACTAGAATGTAAGTTCTTATAAAATAAAAATGTTTAAAAGAGTCACCAATGTTTGCCACTAACGAAATAAAAGGTTTCAAATGACTGGAACTTATTAAGATAAATTTTTATATTATTTTATTTTAAATTGCTTACCTCGGCAGCAAATAGTATTCGGAACTCAGAATCTGAAAAGGAAACTTTCATTTATATTTTCACAACGACAACAGCAAGTAATAAATTTAATTTTTTTTTCAAAAATATTTCTCTAGTTCATGAGTTTCGATTCAATAATGTTTAACAGGTTGAATGAGAACTATTTTCAAAATGCATTGCAACATTTTAGATATAAGATATAGATTATAGATAGATAGATAGATTTAGATATAGATTTAGATATTTCTTGCTATGGAACCCAAGATAGACCAGGGTATTTAAAACTTAATTTTTGATAAATATATATGCACTTAAGAAATAATAATTAAAATAATTAAAAAAGAAATCCCCACCTTACCCCGAGTTTATAATGGAATAAGAAATGTTTTTTACAATTCAGTCCTTCAGGCGAACTTTGCATCAGACAAATAATATTTACATTAGCAGATTTGCACTACTCTTGGAAGTGATTTAGATTTAGAACTAAACACTTCAAGGGAATGAAAATATCTCCCGATGGCCATCGAAGCAGCAGAAGTTGTCCTCACTGCATCGACACAGAACTCTCTCCCAACCATGTCTTTGATTGCCCAGCCATATTGGCAAAGCTCTTCAGGATCCATCTGGATCCTCCGCAGCAACTCCTCTATTCCATTGAGATTATTGATGTGGCCAAAGCTGTTTTAGATACTTTTGAACAAATTTAATTTTCCTTGCACTACTGAACAGGACAACAACAATATTAGCAGATTTCTCAATTGAAATCAAAATAATGTTCACATAAACGCAATTATTTTTTAAATATATCACCACAATATTCACTTTGACACAATTATCTATTAACTTCAATGAATACAATATTCTATCGACTGCAGTACAATTTTCACACGAAAATAGTTCGCCATTGGCACCAACACGAGCACAATTGGATCCATGAAAGTGACGTCATCCTAGGCAAATCATGACATTTGTCCATTCAGAAGCCAATCAAATTTGCAAAAGCTCGTGACGTTTTATTATCCAATTAAATCTGATTTAAATCACATGATTAGGCATAATCACTTCATTTCTTTTCCAGTTGCAATTACCTAAATCTCCACCAATGTCAAAAATATTTTTTTATTATTGTTTTTTTTTAATCTTTATGAATTTCAATTCTTTTGCTGTTGCTTAATAAACTTTTTACAAGGAATCGCATTTAGATTTTACTATACGCTCCTCACTATTTACAATTAGAACAAATAATGTTTAAAAATCATGTTTAAGAATGACAATTTCATGTTTAAGGATGACTAAAAATTGTAATAATGAATTATAATGAATTAATAGTAAATGGCTTACCACATTTTTTCACATCAAATGTTGCTTGATAAATGGACCGTAAAAGAACAGGTTCTTCTAATATTAGTAGTACTCTTTGTTCAGTCCTTCTTGCTAGAATTAAACAATCCGACAACAAAATAGCCCAATACTATAAAATAAAATAAAATGTTTTAATCAAAAGTATATTAATCATTTTTCATAATTTCTCTTAATTCATTCATCATTTTTCTTAATTTTTTTCAAAAATGGTGAAAGTTGCAAAACATGAATTTTAGTCCCTTTTTACGTGGTAAAAAATACTGGTAATTTGAATACTGATTCACTTTCACCGTAGTACAGTAATATTTATTCAATCTCAGTGATTTTACAGTAAATATTATTATAAATATTACTATAAATATTACTATATATTAACTTTTCTACCATACAATTTTACGGTAAGATGTACTGGCATGCTAAATGTCGATATTTTTTACCGTAATTTCATCTGGAATTTTTTCATAGTATAGTTTGTAGTTAAATTTAACCATGCATATATACTATGTCCGATTGTCTTTAATTGCTAATACTACGCCCTCAGAAAAATATATTGTGTGCCCCATCATATTTCAGCTCAAACTAAACCATAGTAACGTACAATTAAGCTTTGAAAACTTTGATTTGGATGAAATAAATTATAGCAAATATATTTTAAAAATTAGATCTTTTTTTATTATATGTGCATTTTGCAATGATAAAAATAAAGCATACGAATATTATATAATTACAATTTAAATGGGCGATTTCATTCAATTACATATATAGAAACATTTTTTTCAATGAACTATTATTTGTAGGAAGCCGCTACGTATTAAAGAATTATTAAATTAAAATGCAGACAAATAAATATCATAATATTTTTTTCAACCGAAAGTTGCGTTTACGCATTATTCAATGTGTTTCATTGTGTAGTAATAAATTTTAGATGAATAAATAAAATCTCATCTTAATCTGACAATTTTATAGATAAAAAGATCATTCAAAAAAGAAAGTTAAACGCATTTTTTAAAAAAATGGAAAAAAAGACTTCTTTTTTTTCAATCCTATTCAAATGAAATGTTTCATATTTCTTTCTCCTATAATTTTATGAATAAAGTTACTAATACATGACAATTTACTAATAAATTGTGCAATTCTCACTTTTCTAGCAACCATTTTCGAGAATGAAAAGAAATAAAAATACGTCCTTCAAATATTTTAAATCTTGCGCCATCTGTTATCAACAATGAACAGTAATTTTATTTAAATTACGTATAAAAAATTGCTTGCTATTTTAATTTTATAAAATAACATACAGATATAGTTTATTTTTAATTAGAAAGTTAACTCAGAAGTATCTTCTTTTAATAATAAGATTTATTATATTTTTTGAATTCCACTGTCCCAAGAACTGTTTTAATTTTATTAACTGCTGGAGTTTTATTTATTTCTTATACTCGTTCTTTGTTTGTTTTCTGACAACGCATATTTTTATGCATATGAGAATCAATTTAGTGGCTTCTTTTCAAAAGTACTTCATTTAAAAACAAGCACATTTTCAGTAATATATTCGCCCTAATTCTTTTAATCAAGTGTTACTTTATCATTTAATATAATTTTTAAAACGACAGTTATGTGCTTTAAAATATATTTTGTTCAGTATATATATATATATATATATATATATATATATATGCATTCCGGAGACCACTGCGAGAACGCAGCTCTCACGAGACATGTCAATAATGCTAACTGCTATATCCTTCTACGTATCTTTTTATTTCTATTAAATTGTTATGTTTATTAAATTATCGTCATCATTTACTCCTATGCTGCACTATCTCCCACACATATTTAATGAATATTCTTTCAAGTCATGAAGACCGACAGTTAGTTTGCAATAATCTGATCATTTGAGCAGAAATTAACGAGGTGTTTCATTTTTTATTTTGAATACTGTACACCTGATTTTACTACACAAAGAAAAAATTTCTGGTAAACCTTGCTATAACATACCAAGTTAAAAAAAATTATAATTCTAGTTAATAAAGCAAAAACAAACAAACAAAATATGCGGTTTTTCAACCATTCGTTTTGTAGTTTTTCCGTTCCTATTAAATTACAGTTCTCATCACTTGACATTTAATAAAAAATATAAAACCGATAAGTAAATTTAATCGAATAACTGGTTTTTTTGCTTTGTTCTGAGGTATCATGATAAATATATTAAAATTTATCCATTTACTAAATTTTATCAAATATCATAGAGCCATATTTTATTGTTAATTTTAACAAAATTAATACATAGAGCAACGGTAAAAATTATAGAGTATTTTGGGGCTCCCATAGATCCAGAAATGAGCGAATTTTACCATATTGTAGTCGCTTTTACGAAACTTTTTTTCTCGGTGTACCTACTAAGTATCTCCTATGGATTCTCTCTTAACTTTTGTTTTGGAATTGGAATTGATAGAGGATTGTTATTTTTCTGTTAAATACAATTTCTAGCTCATTTTGTGTACTTAATCAAAAAATACTTTTACAATCATAACTAATGACTTACACAAAGGGTAATTTGTTTTTACTTTATTGCTGTNAGTGTGTGTGCATGGTTCGAAGAGCACCAGGATGAATTTACCGTACTCCCCTGGCCAGCAAACTCACCGGATTTAAACCCAATCGAGAATCTGTGGAACCACCTCGATCGGGTTGTTCGCTCCATGGATCCTCAACAGCGTAATCTAGCGCAGCTGGCCACGGCACTGGAGTCGGCATGGCTCAACATCCCAGTGAACACCTTCAGAAACCTAATTGACTCTCTTCCTGCACGTCTCGTAGCGGTTTACTCTGCCAAAGGTGGTTATTCTGGATTTTGACAGGTGGTCACATTAATGTGACTGGACTGTGTGTATATATATATATATATCTGTGTGTGTGTGTGCGTGCGTGCGTGCGTGCGTGCGTGTGTGTGACCGAAAAGGACAGTAAGAGACATCAGAATTCGTCGAAAAAACACCAAAAATCCAACACACAAACAAAAATATAAATAAAGAATAGAAAGCACTGACAACAAGGCAGTTTCTTCAGGGAGACATTACCATGTGTAGTCAGTTCAGAAGCAGTTTCTGCCTGATTATTGGCAAAATACCTGAAATAACCCTATGCTCCCGATTGAGATTTGTTGGTTTACACCTAAGTTAAAACTTTTAACTTAATTGTAAAGAAAGTAAAAACTTTTAATCGTCCTAGTTTATCACCTGACCTGAATCCAATAGTACGCCTTTGGGAATTCATCAAAAAAAAGTTGGGGCATGGAAGCATTCTTTGAAGGCAGAACTCCTTCAAGATCTACAGTTGGAATGTCCATTTCAGAAGGTTTCTTAAATTCCATGCCCACGCGGTGTGCCACTTTCATAAAAGCAAAAGGATACGCAACGAAGTATTAAAAATTTGGTATATATTCATATATTATAATTAATTTCAATAAAATTTTAGAAAAACTGCATTATATCAACACTTTTGATTTCAATTTTTTAAATTCTCGTTTGGTGTTTATTATATTAAAAATTTTCAAGTATATTATTAGCTGCTCCCCATGCAGAATAACTAAAGCTACAAATTATTAATTCATATCATTAAGAAATTTTGCATGCAGAAAAAGTTTCAACAGAGAAACATATCGTCTCAAAATTTTGCTCCTTACCATACGTTGTAAAGTTGTAATTTTTCTTTCGTTAACTATGAGTTACTTTCTTTTTATTAGAGTGAGTAACAAAGCAATTTAGAGTGTTCTTTTTCATCTTTATCCAAGTCTTGATACATGATCATTGAAATATAACTATCTGCAAATCTAACTTAAAACCAATCTAATGGTTTGCCTCTACTAAATTAACACAAATTTCGGACATTAAATTTGAAAAAAAATTAAATTATGAATAGTTTTCAATTGAAAAATTTCATGCAATTGTAGTAAATAATAACCATAAGTGTAGTTTTTTTTCTTTTTTTGCTTTATTTCAAATAAAAATTATTTAAATAGGTACTTAAGATCTGTGTTTGTGGAACAATGATGCACATTTTAAAAAATGCATAGCTCAAAAATAATACCTCGATATAATGCTTCCCTTCAATCTTAGAAAGATTTCCTGCAAACAGCCAGCTTCTTCCAGGAAAAACTAATGAAAAATTCTATAAGAAATATTTAAATTTTAAACAACCAATCTAACTTTAACTATTAAAAATCAATTAAAATAAATTCGTATGTTTATTAAATATTTTTTAAAAACATATATCAATTTCTTTTTCTGGCAAATTAGAAATTTTATTTTCTAATGAAGTAAAAATTATTGTATTTTTATAAATTGAAAACGTCTTTTGGTAAAACTGCTTTTATAGTTTCTTGATAGTTCAGTATATACACAATAATTTGCTAATTATAAAATCATAATCAATTCAATTAATTTAGAAACAGTATCAAAAATACTATAGTTATAATATAATTTTGGATATATTTCATTACTTATAAAAGAGGACTGACTTACTGTGACTTACTTTTGTACTTCGTTTAGCTTGACTTATTGTTTTGGGATGAAATTTTATTCTTGATTTTTGTTTAATTCCATTAAGAATTTATAATTAAATATAATAATTATCGCCGAAAAGAAATTTAACAGTTCCTTTAACAAAAATAATTATTTTGAGAATAGATTTTGTAAGAAATTTCAAAAATTAAATTTTATTTAAAACATTTTAAGTTAGTTAAATGTTAAAAGTAAGAAAAATTTTCATTGATTAACGCACAAGAATAATTAAGGAAGTTAAGCTAATTGGGAAAATAAATAACTTAGAAAAAAATTTTATAAAGGATAAATTTACTAAGTTTCACAGATTGAATATAATTGGAATAGGGATTAGTTTTTATTTTTTTCATTAATAGCGTAATCAGTCTACTTTTATTTTAATCTCTCAATGATGCAATATTTTTCAACTGAAACATCATTGTCTTTAAAATTAGGTGTGTCTTTTCAAAAACATGTTTCGTCCGACTTGAGTTTCCTGAAACATTTAGTGCCTGCTTATAAAGCAGTGGTATCTGCATTGCTTTTTAAAAAAATTTAAAAAATATTGCTGAAAATCAAAAGATATTTGAATTTTTTTAACTAAAACACTTCAAAGCTATCTCAAGAGATAAGAAAAATATTAATTTTATTAATGATGATAAAGAACGTGTTGAAAACCTATAAGAGTGGGATGCAAAATTGGATTGAATTTGATAGTTGGAAATTTTAGCTTAAAATGTTAGCCCAATGTAGATTCACCTGGAACTAATAAAGGTATAAAGGCAAGAATAATGGTGGGACACATGTAGAAAAAAAATATATTGTTCAACATTTGAAAAATTGCGTTATTACAATAAAAGCTTTTCTTGAAAGCAATATTTCTATAATTGTAAAATAATTATAAGCAGCATGTAATTATAGCTTTGAAAAGATCAAGGAAGGAAACTAAGGCATGGGAATAACGTAATTGTCCATGAAGGTGCTGGATAACTCAAACAATTATAATGTAATAATAGATTTGTTTAAGGATGATTCATATAAATTTCAAAAATGTTAACAGTATTTTTCATTTGCGTTACAATGACCTTGAGAATTCTCTGAAACTAAATATAATAGTGCAGCATATGAAATAAAATAAAATGTTTGGGATCTATAAAAGAAATTGAGACAAAATAATGAAGCTATCCGTGTTGCATTTCTGTGCCTAAGTTTAAAAAGAATTATCAGCTGCATGATTAAAGTTAGCAGATCATGTTATGTTGTCATATTAAATTGTAAATATAACGGTATATTGATCGTAAGTTAATGGTGCAATACGTGAAGTAAAACATGCTGTATATATATCAAAAAATCAAAATGTGATAATGAAACCTAATTTACACAAAACCTTTCCTAAACTAAGGAAGAAAAAAAGAAAATATTGACACGATATGGTATCCTTCTGTTCATTTTGCGACGTTTACAGGCCTTAAATTGCATTTTCAAAAGGCTTTAAAAAAGATACCCATGCTCATGATGAGTCTAAATTTCACATGAATATACATATTACAATAGAAAATTGTTCTGCTAAAGAAAAGAGTTCAAAAAATGATCTGTAGATAGCGCTACACTCGTCATAAGATTCTAAAACTATTGCTTTAAAAGATATGCTTGTTTAAAGATGCTAATTGAAAAACGTAACGTGAGCCCCAATCAATACATTTGAATCAAAAAGCTTGAAACAAGCAGTTCGTGTTATTCTATGACTCATGACTATATGTTATTGAAAAATCGGACTCTTAATCGGAAAAGCTGTTATACAGAAAAGGCGAGTTAGTGATAATGTTTCACGCCTTTTTATCACACGTTTCTGTGAGATGCTCACGTTACGTGTTTCAGTTTGCATTTTAAAATTTAATACAATCTTTTTTTAGCATCTTATAATGAATAAAGTAACAGTATGTCGGTTAAATTTTTTTTCTTTCCCAAAATAATAAATAAATTGATAATTATCATAGCTTTGAGTATACTCATGTGTAATATTAAGTCATTCTGAGAAATAGTTCTTTTTTTTAAGCTTTTTGAGAGAACAACTTGTAAATGCAAACTTAATTATTGTCCGTGTATATACCATGGAAATAACCATGCAATAATGAGACCAAAAATAATGATGGGCATAAGATGACTCAATAGCATAAAAAGCAAAGTGATATGGAATTGATTTTTAAGAAATTTAATTTTTTAGAGAAGCTAATTAAAATTCAAGCTACATCTTTAATAAATATTTTGAACCTTAGCAGTCGTGAAAATAAAGCTTGTTAAATTTAATCAAAAGAAATGCGAAAAATAATATAGTACCCTCGGCCCTTTTGTGAAAAGCGTCTTTTCCTGTAGAATTTCGAGATTAATGTAAGGCTCTTCATCATCAAAAGCATTTTCAATGTTCCTTAAATCCTCAATCGCTGACAGCTCTTTCATCACTGCATTCATCTCACCTTCGAAAGTTCGAAAAACTAGAAGAAAGAACAGAATTTTCTTAGTAGAATAAAAGTGGAATATCGTTTATAAGAATATAATCCTGAGATCTTTCAGAAATCCTTTCATATAAAATAAATAAAGTGTAAAATCATTCACTTCTCTTTATGGTATTAAATATCTTGGAATTTTTGGAATGCACTTATAACTAGAAGTAGCTTTGATTATTGCTTTTGGAATATTTATTAAGAATCAATTTTTCTTCTAGGGCAAAATTTACTAATCTTTATCGTTCACAATGTTTATGCTTTTATTTATTTTTTAAGAAATTTTTTTAACTAGATTATAGGACTTCTTAGTTATAAACATTAATTAAATTTTCCTTTGATCCTCAAAATAAATTAATTTTATTAAAATAAAAAATATTTTTAACAGAAAAAACTATTCTAAATTAAAATAATGAATTGCACAAAATATGTGTGCTTGTTTAATATTTAAGTAATAATTCTTTAAAGGACTCGAAGTTACGAAGTACACTGACTAGCCCCTGAAATCTGAGAGAGGGGGGAGCAAGAGGGGATAAGAGGCTGGAAGGACCAGTTGCCAGGAAGCAAGCGTGATTGAAACTGAGAGAGGAGAATATACCGGGCAAGGGCATACCAGGCAGTGGCACTGATACTTAAAAAACATTGATGTAGAGCAGGGGTAGGCAACGCGGCGCCCACTGGCGCCATGGCGTCCCCGATCGATTTTTAATGCGCCCTCGCTGGACTAATGTAAATGCATGATAGCCAGAGCGATTTACTTACTCTTATCAAACGGCAATATACAGCAAGTAGTCAGTTGAGTTTAGGATTGTGCATAGATTAGCAGTTTGCTAACCTTGAGCGTATCTAATAACACGCACGTATTTTTTGTTAGTGTGTGATCGTATTTCGAATAGACCACGCGTAGACCGTGCATTTACAACTACCAAGTAATCCGAAATAATTCTTTTCTTTCAAAACCCTTTGTTGAAAGCGATGAACTGGATCCTAAATTAAACAGTGATCTAGTTTGGATGGGTGATCTAGTTTCGCCACTGATGCAGTTTCTGACGCATCAGCTAGGTTAACTGTGACTGTATTGAAACTTGTCGTTTTAGTTTCAGTTTGCTTTTATGTTTGAGCTTCTGTTTGTTTATCTTTGGTATAATGCTTCTTTGCTATGCTTTCATTATGTTTTAAATAATAAACGTTGTTAAGTTTAATAACGTTGTGTTTCTTTTTAAAATAGAGTTGTTATAGTTCTAGTTTTTTGTGTCTTTACACCCTTCATGGATAAATGTAAAAAAAAAGAACATATTATTTTAACGATGAATGGGAACATCTATATTGTTTCGTTGATTTCAAAGGGAAGTGTATTTGTTTGTTGTGTAATAATAGGGTTGCGATTCCCAAGAAAAGTAACATTGAACGACATTTTAAGACCGTTCATACCAATTTTGATAGTGACTATCCAATGAACTCTGAAATTAGAAGAAAAAAATTATTTCTTTAAAATCTTCAATAACTAACCAGCAAAGTTTTTTTCTAAACCAGTGCAACAACATAAAGCAGCAGCGATCGCGTCATATCGCATTTGAATAAATGGCACTAAGAATAAAAAACCATTTACAGATGGAGAATTAGTGAAAGAAGCCATGTTAGAAGCTGCTGATTCACTTTTTGAAGAATTTAAAAATAAAAAGGAAATAGTTTCAGCTATAAACACGTTGCAATTATCAGCACGAACTGTTACTAGAAGAATTGAAGTAATTGCGGAGAATTTGGAGGCAGAATTAGCAAATGATATGAAAAATTGTATTTTCTTTTCGTTACAGATGGATGAATCGACAGACGTGACAAATATATCACAATTAGCAATTTGCGTGAAGATGGTATTTTCTGATTTTACAACAAAAGAAGAATTCCTTAAAGTTCTACCATTAAAGGGAAGCACCAGAGGAGAAGATATCTTTTCTACTTTTAAAAAGTATATAACAGATGTAAAATTACCTGTACAAAAGTTTTCGTCAATTACAACAGACGGGGCACCAGCGATGACTGGTAAGAAAAAAGGATTTATTGCCTTATGTAGGCAGGATTCCTTATTCCCGAAATTTATTTCTTATCATTGCCTCATACATCAGGAAATGTTATGCGCAAAAACAATCGGTTTTCAACACGTATTTACGATAGTAACAAAAATGATTAATTCCATAAGGTCGGGAGCTATGCAACACAGATTGTTTAAATTACTTTTAGAAGATGAGGACGTTCAGCTCACAGATCTTCTTTTACATACTGAAGTGAGGTGGCTGAACAGAGGTAAAATACTTGAGCGGTTTATCATGCTTTTGCCACAAATAAAGGAATTTATTGCATCAAGAGGCGAATTTTACGAGCAATTAGAAAATAAGGATAGGCTAATCGACCTCTGATTTCTGACAGATATAACGGCAAAATCGAATGAATTAAATTTAAAAATACAAGGGAAAAATCAGCATATCGCTGACATGATTAGTGCAGTAAATCCATTCAAATGCAAGTTAGTGTTGTTGAAATCCCATTTATTGAAAAAATCATCATCATATTTCCCAAACATAAAATAGACTGTTGAGAGTTTAAATTTGAATAATGAAAATTTTACTGCTACATCATATTTAGAAATTATAGATAAGCTAATAGAAGAGTTTTCTTCTAGATTTGAAGATTTTGCAACATTAGAACCCGTTCTAAGATTTTTCATAAATCCATTCAATGTTACTGAAGATGATATCCTTGAAATAGTTTCAGTGTTTTTCGAG